TATGATATTTAAATGCATCTATTACCTATGCCCAATTTTACAGTCTTTGTAAGTGATGGGGATTTTAGTAAGTGAGAGTGATGACGTTTCTGGAGTCATGAAATATTTTTTTCAGTGGATTATCCTTTTACGTCACTGTTGTTCACTTTACCATGATTGGTGGAAACGCGTTTGCTTTTTCCACCAATGAAATCCAGAGCTGTACAAAGAGATCGACTCCGTCTCATCGAGTAGCTTCAGCGTCATAACCATTGCAATGCTGTGCACAGGAGCGGTGCAGACACAAAGCATGACCGTCACTGTTATGCATAAGGACGCTTTTGCATTGGATTATAGACCTTCTCTGCTTAATCATTTGAGAATTTGGAGTTGTGGTGAGAAGATATGGGATTTATGGAACGAGGAATAATGTGGAACAAGCTGCTAACATGGCAGGCGTTTTTGTGGTGGCATCATTTCTTTGTATTGTGGAGTACAATAGATGGACAGACTCGCTACAGCATCCCGGAGGAAGTGAAACAGGGCACTGTGGTAGGAAATCTAGCCAAAGATTTGGGTTTGGTTGTATCTGAACTGTATCGACGTAAATTGCGGATAACCTCTGAAGCTGGTAAGCAGTATTTTAATATGGACTTGGGGAAGGGAGAACTGGTGGTGATTGATAGGATAGACAGGGAGGAACTGTGCGGACAAAGACCCTCATGTCTGCTGCCTTTGGAACTAGTTATAGATAACCCCCTGCAGCTGCATAGAGTCGAAATTGAAATACAGGATACAAACGATAATTCACCCAGTTTTCTCACGAAAGAGAAAGTGTTGAAAATTGCAGAGCTGGTAAATCCAGGCGCGCGTTTTCCTTTAGAAAGTGCACAGGATCCAGATGTCGGGATAAATTCCGTTCGTTCTTATCTCATAAGCAAAAATGACAATTTCAGAATGACAATTAAAAACCACAAGGACGGAAGAAAAATTCCTGAACTCGTTCTGGAAAAACCTCTTGATCGAGAGAAGCTGCCTGTGCATAATCTTATCCTCACCGCTATAGATGGTGGAGATCCAGTGCGCTCAGGGACTTCAGAAATTAAAGTAATAGTACTTGACAACAATGACAATGCACCACAGTTTGATAAGCAGGTGTATGAAGCAAATGTCAGTGAGAAAGCTGCACCTGGAGCTCATATACTGCAAGTTAAAGCCACAGATGCAGATGAAGGATTAAATGGAGAAATTGAATATTTTTTTGCAGAACAAACGACAGATCTAATTTTATCATTATTTGATATTCAACCTTCTACCGGAGTTATTACTGTAAAAGGCATTTTAGACCATGAAACAAGCCCTTTGCACAGATTTGACATAACTGCTAAAGACAAAGGGAACCCTAAAATGGATGGACATTGTAGCGTCGAAATTAAAATAGTGGACATTAATGACAATGTTCCTGAAATAATAGTGACGTCGTTAACGACACCTGTTCCTGAAGATTCTGTGATTGGAACAGTTATTGCTTTAATTAGTGCAAAAGACCCAGACTCAGGTGACAACGGCAAAGTTAGGTTGACAGTTTCTTCCAAATATCCCTTCAAGTTAAATCCATCGGTCTCTAACCATTACTCATTAGTAACGAGTGGGCCACTTGACCGTGAAAAAAATGGCCAATATAGTATCAAGATCAGTGCGACTGATTCTGGAAAACCACCATTATCGAGTGAAAAAATAATACTCGTTGAATTATTAGATGTAAATGACAACCCACCAGTTTTCTCCCAGCCTTCTTATGTCGTTTATGTAAAAGAAAACCATCCTCCTGGGAAAATATTGAGCTCTGTGTCAGCCTCTGACCTGGATTTTGGTGAAAACGCTAAAGTCTCTTACTCTATACTGGACTCTAAAGTGCAGGACGTGTCTGTCTCGTCGTATGTTTACATTAACTCAGATAACGGCAGCATCTACAGCATGCACTCGTTTGACTATGAGAAACTCAAGGTGTTTCAGATTCAGGTTCAGGCAAAGGATCAGGGCTCTCCGTCTCTCAGCAGCAACACCACCGTCCATGTTTTTATCCTGGACCA